ACTGCACGCGCCGCCCCGACGGCTGCGAGACGAAGGTGCCCCAGGGCACGCGGAACGGATCGAGCTTGGTCGTCACTGGGGCCGCCCAGGCGCGCTCGCTGAGTGTCGGAGTTAGAGCTATCGGGCGGGGGCCGGGCGGGAAGAAGGGTCCGTGCAGATGGGTGGAGAAGGCGACCAGGAGAAGCACGACGGCGAACAAGAGGACCCACAACACAAAGTGACGTGGCCTCGCCATCGCCAACTTCATCTTCCGGAGTGGTGCGTTTTACAACCTAAACTTCGGAGAGCTGGACGCGTCACTCGTTGTCCATCTGTCGACAAAAGCATGCGGAGAGCTGGGATATTTCCGCCCGAGAGGCTTATCGAAAAGTTGAGGCAAAAATACGGAGATCGTTCCCCTTCCAGTAATGCGCCGCACCTCATGTTAATGTACATATACCAGGGTGCTGGTACTCAATAGGTTGTTGAACAGAGCCGCGGTGAGGTTCCACTGGCCCTTCAGGCGTAGGTGGGGGGAGGGAGCAGAGTCTTGGCGGTCTCTTGCACCGATCGCTCGATGAAGGGCACCAGCTCCGCGGCCTCACACGCCCGCTGCAAAAACGGATGCTGCGCGCGTTCCGGAACGCACAGGCGCAGTGTGCGCGTGTTGCATGTGTGCGGTGGTGAGTGTGCGTGCGTGTGCGTTGAATGCCCACCAATGCCCGGGCGATCAGAAGCGAAGAAGAGAGGATCGGGGTGTGGGTGGGCGGGGGGATGTCGTACGTGGAGGAGGTCGGCGGCTGACGGCCGGATCTCGGGGTCTAACACGGTGCAGCGTTCGATGAAGTCGCGGAACTCGGGTGACATGCTCTGGGGCTGTTTGAAGGGCGGCCGCCCCTTGGCCGCGATCAGGAATTCCGCCTGCGCCGGCCACACGTATTGTCTGATGAGCCGCCACACAATAAATACTGCGTGGCCCATGGGCGTGGAATGCGCGTGCGTGTGCGGTGGTGTGTGCGGTGGCGAATGCGTGCGTACCCGCGTGGAGGTCTGGTCGGCGTAGGGCGGTTCGCCCTCAAACATCTCCACGGCGGTGATGCCCAGGCTCCAGATGTCGGCCTTGCAGTCGTACGCGCCCTTGACTGTCGCATGGCCAGTGGTCAGAGCACCAGTCAGAATTGAAGGAGCCCATTATTGAAGAATAAAAAAGAACAAAAGGAATAAAAGGAAGACCTACTTTTGATGACCTCGGGGGCCATCCAGTAGGTGGTGCCCACCTGGTCCTCGCATGATTTGCCCTCGCCCACCCGCGCGCAGAACCCGAAATCGACTGCGTGATTAGTGGGGTCGGTTAGTGGCCCATTGCAGCCCTCGTCCCCACACGAGATGTGATGGCGGCATATATGTGGTGTGCCGCATGTGTCGTTTCGTGTTCGTGAAGTGTGCACGCACTGATCTTGATGGCCCCATCGGAGCCCAAAAGGATGTTATCTGGATGGATGGAGGGGGTTGAATTGGAATGCAGAAAAACACGATTAGAGGCAGACCGCATGCTACGTGTAATCGCATTCATCATCTAAGGGTGACGTCACGTACCAGGTTTGATGTCCCGGTGCACGATTGGTCGCGCTATCGTGTCGTGTCGTGTCGTTGGTCGTGTCGTGTGCGTGCTTGTGTTAGCAAGGCGGAATTGGGGGGGGGAGGGGATCAACGGAATAGCGCGTACGAATGTTGTGGAAGTGGTGCAGGCCGTTGACGATGCCGCGGCACACGTAGGCGATCTTGTCCTCTGGCAGCGTGCCGAAGAGGCGCAGGAGCGCACCCAGGCTGCCCCCGCTCAGGTACTCCATCACCACCTTGGCGCCACGCGGACACCACAGAAAGAGCGAAAGCGAAGAGAGTCAATCATCAGTTCGGTGGTTACCGACGAGTCGCACACGCAAGCATGAAGTCCGCGTACCCAGAGCTGGTCCTTTTCTCTCGGGTTGGGTGCGGGCACGATGTAGGCCTCGAGCAGCTGCACGCTGTTCACGCACCCCTGCCCATCCGCCATCACCTGTGGTTGGGCATCGCACACGCACACACACGCATCACCGCACATGCACATGCATACACACATACAGGATTAGCTGTAGCGGGGTGCCTGAAAGGAGAGGCTGCAGGGAGGGCGAGTGCCTCGATCTCGGAGAGGAGCACTTCGGGGATGGCCTGGTTCTCCATCACCATCTGCTTGATCGCCACCTGCACACGCACGCACAGCGGCAGATTAAGGCACGCGCACGCGCCAGCACGCGCACGCGTGTGTGAAAGTTCTGCGCAGTACGTATGTGTTCGAGCGGAGGTCGGTCGCACGATAGACGGCTCCCGACGCACCCTCGCCCACCTTCACCTGTCGCGGTCGCACATCAACATCATCAACATCAGATTTCGGATATTAGCATTTCCGCGCGTGTGTGGTAACGTGTGCGTGTGCGGTCAGGGTTGGGTACGGGGTCGGCGTAGAGGGTGAAGGGGTCGAGCTTCGACACGAAGCTGCGGAGGATCTCGCGTACGGGACGCGGCGGCGGCGGAGGCGGGATGGACGAGTCCTCGCACGAGGCCGCCCACGCAACGGGCGGCTCGTTGGTGATGAACTCCGCCGGCGCCTCCAACGAGGTCGCGGCCGCCGCTTGACCGCTGCCGCGCCGGGCGCTGCTGTTGGTCGAGTTGCGGCGGCCGAGGTTGGTCAGCGCGGTACCCCGGCGGCCCAGCTTCGGGGTGCCCTCGCGCGAGCCGACCAACGACGAAGATGGCGAAGATGACGAGGAGGGGTTGTTGCCCATCTCTCCCCCTTTTTTCAATGGCCAACGATTAGACACCACCCCCCTTCCTTCCTCGAGGCTCACATACGGAGATTGATTGGTGCGAGAAAGGGCGGTACCAATTGGGTAAAGATTGGAGATTCGGTTGAGGATGAAACCCAACCCAACGACAAGATGAAACCCAGAAGATTGGAGCAGAAGAAGGACGGCGAGAAGGATTGCGGGTACGCTCGCGTACTCGCTGCAGCCGACAACCAGAGAGTGAAAAGTTCAAAACCAATGGATAAATTAATAAGTTACCAAGGATACTTTGGTAACCTAGTATCTTGATCCGCGGCAACCACGAGTTGTGCAAGATACAAAGGGGGCGCCTCCCAAACGAACAAACGTTTTTGAAGGAGGGGAGGAGGAACGACAAATAGCTCGAGGGGGAGCTCTAGTTGGTGGCGCCGCCGTAGATGGCCTCCCTGAACTTCTCCTGGATGCTGCCCGAGCACCCGCGCTTCACGTTGACAATGAACCTGTGTGTGTGTGATGTGTCCCAAACCAAACACAACCCGAGGACAGCGACGACGCCTATTAGAGGTCTGCCCTAACAAGAGCAATGCATTGGTGTTGGTTGGTTGGGGGGGGGGTGTAAACGAACCGACAGTGGAGGGACGTTTCGTTGCCCGAGTCGCCGAAGATCAGGGGCCACTTGGACTTGAGATCGAATATGTTGGCATTGCCGTCCAATCGGCGCTCTAAGTAGAGAAAATATGACAGCATATATCAACAAAAATGTTCAGCAATAAGAATGAAGAAGAAGGTGGGTGGTGGGGAGTGGCGGTGGTGGGAGGAGGTACCCATGTACTGCTCGCCGCGCTTGACGCGTTCGGTGACATCAAAGTTTTTGCCGAAGTCCTTGCCCAGATTGAGCTTCTCGGCCATCTGGTCGCATATCTGCTTGGCCGTGGTGTCGGAGGTGACGACCAAGCTCTTGTAGGCCTCGTTCTTGAGGAATATCTTCATCACCTCCTGCTCACCGCGCCACACGACACACGACACACGACAAACACGCAGCGGTGAGATGACTAGACTGCAGGGCACGGGGGGTCGATGGTCGCGTGAGGGAGTACCCGCTCGACGACGCTGACAGGCTCGGGCTTGACGGGAAGCGTCTCGGGTCGCTTCTCCGCGGGGATGACACGCGGCGCCGGATCGTTCGTTTCTGTCGTCGAGGGCAGCGACACAACACGCACGCACGCACGCACGGACGCACGCACGCACGCACGCACAGCCCAGCAGGAATGCGTTCGGTTGCGGTGAGCGATCGCACGGCGCTGATTGTATGCAGCGCGGGGGGGGGGGGCTCGTACGGACAACCTTGCCGGCCTTGACCTCGGCGAAGATCTCCTTCATTTCCTGCTGCGTCCACGGGAGGGCAAGATCGGCCGGCGTCTGGCCCTCGTTGTCCGTCAACATGATGTCCGCACCTATGGTTGCGTGCGGTCGATACAAATCAAAAAAGAGTTTAGGTCGCCGTCCGTCGTCAAAGCACACGACACGACACACAGGCGATAGCATGCGGGCGCACCTGCAGGCCGTCGTCAAAGCACACGACACGACACGACACACGACAGAGAATAATAATAAAAAGAATAATAGTTTTTAGGATAAATAAAAAGAGTACCCTTGCGGATGAGCCAGAAGGCGAGGGGCTCGATGCGGTTGAGAATGAGCGAGTGTAGCGGCGTCACGCCGCGCTTGTTCTGGGCGTTGATGTTGGCCCCGCGCTCCACCAACAACCGGATCGCGTGCTGCTGCGATTTGGCGCACGCCCAGTGCAGCGGCGTCGATCCTGTGTGGTCCATCCCACGCTGCCTTGTCAGTGTGTGTGTGTGCGCGCGCGTGCGTGTGCGTGCGTGTGTGCGAGTGCTCTATGTGCGGCGGTCGTGCGTACCAGTGTCAAAGTCGACGCAGTTAACGTCGATGCCTCGGTCCAGGATTTCGGTGATCTTCTTGATGTTGTTGCTCTGACAAGCGTGGAATAGTTCGTACATCATCTCCGTTTGCGCTGCACCGCATTGTCAGAACGAAACAAGCAAGAAGGGCTGAAGAAAGAACGAAAGAGGGAAGGCTTGAGGTCGTGGTACCTCCGCCGCCGGCGAGGATCCTGGCATTGTGCGAGACGGTGGTCTGCAGCAGCTGCGGCAGCGGCTTCGTGCCGACGTAGAGCTGTGGTTACGACGATTCGAGAAACGCGTGAGACTCGGGAGCGTAGAGGAGGGACCATAGGGAAGGAGTGAGTGAGTGCTTGGGTACCTCGCCCTGCTTGTCCCGGCCCATCATCTCCATTTCCTTGCGGCTGGGCCGGTTGGTGGGGTCCACGGTGTAGTAACACTTTTCACACCTGCCCCGTCATCCGCACGGTGCACACGCACACGCACGCAACACACACATGGCGACCACGCAAACACGCACAACCACGCACACGACACGCCGCGGCGTGAGTGGTGCCCGCCTGGAGCGAGGTAGCTCAGAGCGTAGATGAGAATGAAAGGGGCGAGAGGTACCGAGAGAAGCCGCGCGCGCGGTTGGAGGAGATGTCCGTCGAGGTGCAGTTGGGGCACACCTCGAAGAAGGGCGACTGGACCACGAACCCGTTCTCTCGCACCACGCCCGTGCCCTGTGAGCGCCGACGCCACATTCGTTACCACACGACACGACCGTGTGTAATGTGCACCACGACGCGACACGACGCGACGACACACGACGCACACACGAGCGAGAAAAAAAAAGAGGGTAACAGAGAGGAGGGCGTACCTGTGGGATGTAGCTGCCGGTCGAGGGGTCGCCCAAGGCTCCGCCCGCGGGAGTGGTGGGGAGGGAGACAGACGACATGAGCACCGAGGTGGGAGTGATGAGGCCCATCCGGATGCGCTCCTTCATCTGCGCCCACGATGGCTGGCGCCCGAACGCCGAGCCGACGCCCATCATTGGCGCCTCCAGCTTGCCACGCCCTTTTTGTACAAAATAAATAAATAAATGCCATATTTTAAATTCAAAAAGGGATTAAGACGGCCAAAGTGCACGCACCTCGCCCCACACGTTCATATTCGAGGTCGTTTATGAGCTGATCGATATCATCCATTGCGTTGGGTCAGAGTGAATTGCAACTGGTGTTCCACTGTTTGGGTGGCAGGGACAACAAAATGCGAACTATTTTGAATTCTTGTCATTTCTCGCATTCCGCCGCTTTTTCTCGTCTTTTTTATTTGTTTCGGCGTTTGCACCAAGACAGATCAAGCAGCTAACGATAGATTGAGGAAGAAGCATCGCAGGCTAGCCATCAAAGATGTCATTCCGCGATACAGGACATGCTAAGAAGAATCAGGCGCGTACGGGTTGGGAGCAATCTGAATTCCCCATCCTCTGCGAGACTTGCCTGGGCGACAACCCCTACGTCCGGATGGTACGTTTTATGACACTCATCTGCGCCCTGGTCTTGAAAATCTAACAGTTTTTGCCTCTTGGCCATCATCGAATTAGACCAAAGCCGACTTCGACAAGGAGTGTAAGGTGCGTAATTTGCCCCCCCCCCCGCACATTGCATGTGATCCAAGCGGGATGCTGATTATGTCTTCCTTTGCTTCAGGTTTGCGCCCGCCCCTTTACCGTCTTTAGATGGAGGCCTGGCGCGAAGGCGCGCTTCAAGAAGACGGAAGTCTGCCAAATCTGTGCAAAGCTCAAAAATGTTTGCCAAACTTGCCTTCTCGATCTCGAATTTGGTAGAATGACGTTCCATCCTATTATCCCATTCTTGCGGGCCACCAGATTCTGACTCTTTCTTTCTATGTGCTACTCGCGCGTGTCATCTCTTTCCTCCTCCTCCTTCTTTCTTCTGCCATTCATCATCATATCATCTAGGACTGCCGGTGCAAGTGAGGGACAGCCAGCTCACGGGCGACGTCCAGCAGATCCCGCTCTCCGAGGCCAACCGGGAGTACTTTGCCGACCAGGCCGAGCGCCAGATCGCGTCGGGCCAGCTCGACCTGCAGGCCGTCCACAGCCAAGTGCACGACACGCTCCGCCGGCTCACCCGCCCCACGCCCTACTACAAGCGTAACGAGGCCCACGTGTGCTCGTTCTTCCTGAAGGGCAACTGCACCCGCGGCGCCACGTGTCCCTACAGGCACGAGGTCCCGGAGAACAAGGGCGACCTCAACCAGCAGAACCTCAAGGACCGGTACTACGGCGTGAACGATCCGGTGGCGCGCAAGATGCTCAAGCGGGCCAGCGAGATGCCCGGCCTCGCGCCGCCCGAGGACAAGAACGTGCGCACGCTCTACCTCGGCAACGTCCAGTCCTACATCACCCAGCAGGACATCCAGTACGCCCCCCGCCTCTCTTCTTCCCACTTGGGCTTCACACGACGCACACGACACGACATCGCACACACGCACGCACGCGCACGAGTGCTCACCCTGTTTGTTTAAAACAAAACAAAACAAAACAATTGCGCAGCGATTCGTTCTATGGTTACGGAGAGCTTGAGTCGGTGCGCGTGCTGACCGACAAGATGTGCGCCTTCGTGACCTACACGACGCGGGAGGCGACCGAGAAGGCGGCCGAGGCCACCTTCGGCAAGCTCACCATCAAGAACATGCCCATCCGCGTCTCGTGGGGCCGACCCCAGGCAGCCATGGGAGGTACGCGTCGCACGTTCCCCTATTTTTTATTTATTTTTTTATTTATTTATTTCTCCTAAACCGGACCCCAAGGATAAATTGTTTAACAAAGTATGAACCGCTTGTTCTTCCTCTTTGATCGAGAGGGAGAGCAAGTGGTCCCTGATTACCGACTTTGATGAGGGCACCACCGGTGGTGATCGTGTGCTTGCGTGTGTGTCGTGTCGTTGATCGCGTGGTCGCTGATGATCTGGTCTGTGTACGTGTGTTGCCGCAGGTGCGCCGCCTCCGGGTTTGCCGCCGCCGCCTCCGGACTACTTCATGCCCTCCATGGCCTCGTGGGGTCCACCCGTCGGTGGCATCGCTCCTCCGCCCGGCGTGGCCCCTCCCCCGGGCATCGCCCCGCCTCCCGGCCTCGCGCCTCCCACCGGCCCTGGCGGTACCCATAGTTCCTCTTACGTGTAGAGGGGGGGTTATGATGTTAGCAACGTTTAGCTGATGATGTTTCTCTCTGCTTCCGTTGGTGATGTTTGTTGCAGGCTATGCTCCATTGCCGCACGGCTATCCCGGGGCGTCGGCTCCCTCGGTGCCGCTCTCGGCCTACTACCCGTCCATGGATCCGCTTCGCATGGGCTCTCGCCCCAACGATGGTGCGCAACGTCGCCGCACTCTCTCCTTCGTGTCGCCGACGTGGGTGTTGGTTTGATGGCTAAAACGAGTTTTCATCATCGACGTGCAGAGCCGACGCGTAGTGCAGTAGTGCTCAACCCGTCCGATAGCACTAAGCAGAGCTGAACAGCCTTTGCACATCCGACCTGCAAGAAAGAGATCCGGACTGTCAGACACCTGCGTGCTCTTGCCAGCAACACAACGCGCGCTCCCTGCCTTCGCCGCAAGCAACACGTCGCCATCGATTGGACAACACTGCAAATATTTGTGCTGCAATTACGCAAAATTCCTTGTGTTGCTTTTCTTCCAATCGGAGCCCAGGACTTTTTTTGGCTTTTGAGCGCCTGAACCGGAATACGTGGGGAGGACGGGTGTACGTATTGGGTTGTCTCCGACCACAAATCAATTCTCTTCGATCGCAATCCTCTTCTTCGTCCATTACCCAAAGCACACAATGTCCAGAATTTTGAGAAGGGGCGCTCTCTCCAACACTTCTGCCACCCTCAACGCGACCGCCTTCGCCGCTCGCAGGTCCTTCGCCGCCTCCGCCCTCCGGCTCGCCTCCCTCAAGGGTACGCAGATTTAACCCCCCCCCCAAACAATCACCTTGGATGGCTTCGGCTTATGTGCTACGCTTACTTCCAGCCGCCTGCGCTCATTTTGGATGCACATCGGAGAAATTTAAAGCAATCATAATGGGATGCTTTCATTTTGTCTAAAGCGAGCCCCATTTCGTTCCATCGAGCAGAGCCCGCCACTTCCCTGGACGTTGAGTCGCAGGATGACACCGACGCCAGGCACACGGGTATGGAGCGCCTCGAGAAGGTGCCCTGGACGAAGCTCTACGAGGGTGACGCTATCCTGACCGGCAAGTTCGGTACTCTGGAGGAGCCCACCATCGTCCACTCGTGGTTCCCCTCGCGCATCGTCGGCTGCCAGGGCTCGGCCGACCACCCCCACGACATTCTTTGGCATGAGGTGCGCCGCGGACGCGACACCGTGTGCCTCGAGTGCGGCCAGGTCTTCAGGCTTCGCCCCAACCTCTTCCACCAGCTGTCCGAGGTCGAGGCTGATCTCTTCCCCCCTACGGAGGCCAAGGAGTCTGCTGCCCACTAAATGGACGCTCCCTCCCATCTCCCCCCCTCTCTCAATTCATCGCTCTCCCCGAGAATAAATACAAAGCTTGGGTTCTACATTAGATTCGATCTCTCGGCGCCATTTATATCATTTGAAATGATTTTTGGAAAATATTCTTACTGTCCTGAGCATCCAGAGGCTCAGTCGTTGCGCCTTTCCATTTCGGCCATGCTGACGGCCAGGATGTGCTGCAGCTCGTCATCGTCGTCCTCTTCCTCCTCTTCCGCCTCCTCCTCTTCCCTCTGCGTGTCGTCGCCGTCCACGCGATAGTGTTGCGCACGATAGTGGTGCGCGTCCATCGCGTAGTCGTCGAAGAAGACCCGTGTCAGTATCGACGCCGTCAGCTCCATCTCGCGCAGCGCATTCTCCAGCGCCTGCTGACTTCGCACTACTCCTCCCTGGGCCTCCACCTGCGCAATTTACCGCTCGTTAGCCGACAAGCACGCCGCACACGCACAAGCACCACCGCACACACAGGCCAAAGACCAGAGGTGCGTACGTTGTTGTTGTTGTTGGACGTGGCGGGCAACGACGATGTAGAGCTACGGCACGGGCGCAGGTACCCGTTGCGGGCGTCGGGCAGTTCGTAGAGGACGGCCGTGTTGCTGGTGATGCCGGCGTCGGCGAGCTTCTGGGTCGGGTCCTGCAGCAGCACCAGGCCCTTCTCGTTGTCCTCAAAGTCGTCGATTCGCCAGAGTCGAATCTTGTGCGGCGGCGTCATCGAACTGCACGCGATCGCCCGCACCAACGCTGAACCACGACACACGACACACGACACACGTCAGCCACTCGAACGCGCGGTTGAGTGGTGCGTGCGCGATGGTAATTAACGTACTGAGGACGCTGGCGTCGGGCTCCACGAGTACGCGGATGGGCGAGTATTCGTTGCGACGCGGTTTTCCCGCACAGTCGTTCTGGAAGGCGTCCACGGCGATGCGTTCCGTCTGTTTCACCGCCGTGCGTGCGCACACAGTTTCGCCGGTGGTGAGCACACGCGCACTCGTTCAGCGAGTGAGCTGGGGGAGAGAGCGCACCATGCAGCGATACCAGCGCTTCCAGTCGCCGCCGAACCGGCGGCGGTCCACCTTGGGAAAGCCGCTCTCGCCGCACAACCGCTTCCACACCCTGCACCATTATTTATATATTTATATATTTATTTTTATGCACAAATCAATAATAAATAAATAAACAATAATTTATGGTGCAGATATTATGCCACCAGGCATTTTAGAAGGGAGGGGGTACCTGGGGTCGTTGGCGAGCTCGTGCCAATGGCGCGAGACGCGTAGGGCGGCGACAGTGGCGCTGAGGTCGAGGTAGTCGAAGACGTGCAGCAGGACCTCGTCCGGCAGTGGGGGCAGCTGCCACTCCTGCTTGACTGGCGGCACTGTCAACGTCAATGACGTTGCTGCTGCTGCTGTTGACAGACCTGTGTCTATTGGGGCTGTGGTCCAGCTCCTACTACTGGTCTGCATGCGGCTCTACTGCAGTCCTCTTCTTCTTCGTGGTGGTGGGTTGAGAAAGAAGAAGCCAAGGGGGGCGGAGTTGCCCACACACCTTACCTTGCCTCCTGGTTCTGTGGGAGGCCAGACCGCGGAAAAGAAGAGATAATTCACAATAAAATAAGAAAATATCTTTGGGGCCACCAATCCGACGAATGTGTGGCATGCGGTGCCGATGGCACACGCACCGGGGGGGGGGCGGCGAACAAGTCGTTGGCCGTACTCCTTAGAGAAGGAGGGGGTCGAGGAGCTTGCGCCAGTCGGCCATGGTCCAGCTCTCGTCGGCCGACGAGCTCACGCCGTTGATCATGAACTGAGGCGTGCCGTAGATCCCGAGAGCTGCGCACCACCACCGCCAGCCACCGACACAACGTTTGGCTGGTGAGCAAGACGAACCACGCTACGCCACGCCATATGCAGCGAAGCTGACGGGCAAAGAGAGAGAGAGAGAGAGCGGTACAGGCGGCGCGCTTCCAGGTGACGCGGGCGAGCAGGTTCTGGGCGGAGACCCAGCCCATGGCCTTGACGAAGGCGGCGGGGTCGACCTTGCAGCAGGCCTGGGCGTACCGGCTCATCTGGGTGATCACCTGCAGCGGCGCAATCCCCTGCGTAGCCTCATCGCCCCAGTTGTCCTACAAACACGCGCGCGCGGATGATGTGAGGCTTTGTGTCCCTTGGCCTATCTGTTGTGTCGTTGGTCGTGTCGTGCGTGTGTCGTGTCGTGTGTGTGTGTCGTGTGGTGAACCTGCTGGTCGTAGAGGTACTGGGCATAGTCCCAAAACACGGTGTTGTTCCTCGCCAGCTCACTCACCACCACAGCACCCTGCACACCATTCATCAGCCAATCAAACACACATGTGGCGTGTGTGTGTGTGTGGCGTGTGCTCCTCTGACTACGGGAAGGGCGGCCGTGCCTGGGCGGCGAAGAAGGCGTTGTGGTGGTAGGGCAGCGGGAAGAGGGTGGCCACGAGCTGCAGCTTGTGGGGGCCGTAGTGCTTGGCCAGCTGAAGCAGGATGGGCCACACGGCCTTCGAGTCGGGACACTGCAGGTCGACAAAGGCCTCCAGCTTGATGGCCGCGTCCGCATCGCCTGTACGCGCCACCGTGACAGCCACCTTAAGAACCATTCTACGTTTGTTGAGGGGGGGTGCGAGTGATACCGAGAGCGAAGACGGAGGAGGCGAGGGGAATGGGCGGCTGAGCGGCCACGAAGACCGTGAAGAGGGCCAGCACGAGGGCGAGTATCGGGGCGAGCTGCATCGTGTGTGACTGCGACAGTAGTGCACTCCTCGGTTCGGCGATAGCTCACTTTGAAAAATGAATTTTTATTTATGCGTTAACAAATAAGAAATGGGACAAGAAAAGGCACCACTCCAGCATCGCAACAGATGGCCGAACACAAGGAAGAGAGCTTGCCTTCAGGTGCTGCGCCTTATCAACACGTCCTGTAATCGTGTGTATAGATGGTGCTACGTGATTCCTCGCTGTTGATTGAAATATTGATTGAAATGCCCCCCTTGCTGTGGGAAGGTGGCGGGGCAGAGTCCTTCAACGTGGACGCGTTCGTGAAGAGCCTCACCACGCGAGCCCTCGGGCGTCGGGTGGAGTACCGCACGCGGGTGGCCAGCACGATGGACGTCGGCGCGCAACTGCTGTCCGAAGGCGCGCCCCACGGCACGCTGGTCCTGGCCGAGGAGCAGGCCGCGCCGCAGGCCCGCAAGCAGGGACGCACCTGGAGCAGCACCCCCCGCGGCAACCTCTACGTCTCCCTCCTCCTTCGCACCACCCACCTCTGCTGGTAAGCCCTCGCCTCTGTCGTGTCATTGGTCGTGTCGTTGGTCGTGTATCGTGTGTCGTGTGTCGTGTGTCGTGTGTCGTGTGTCGTGTGTCATGCGTTGTGTGTCGTGCGATGGTATAAATGGACTCATGAGTCGCAGGTACGGCCTGCAGGCGTCTGCGGTGGCGGTGGTGCGGGCGTGCGAGGACGCCGGGGTGCAGGAGGCGCGCGTCAAGTGGCCCAACGACGTGTGGATCGGGCACAGGAAGGTGAGCGGCATGATCATGCGCACCGAGAAGGAGCTCGACGTCGACTCGTGGAAGGCCCAGATCGGCATCGGCATCAACGTCAACGAGGACATGTCGGCCCACCCCGACCTGCGCGACGTGGCCGTGAGCGTGGGCCAGGCCCTGGGTGGGCTGTGGGTCAATCGCGAGCGGTTCCTGGCGCGGTACCTGGGCGAGCTCGAGGCCCTGCTCG